GTGAACAGTAGGAGCCCAATTTCCATATGAATGTAATACTTTTGCAGTGGCTCCTAGCAGGAGCTGGCCCCTGGGTGGGTGGAGGGGCAGGAGGGTCAGGGAGCTGGCCTAGGTGGGTGGAGGGGCAGGAGTGTCAGGGCAGCTAAAGCCCAGTGCTGGTGGATGAGGGTCTGCGGTCCCCTGTGAGCTCCTGGCCCTCTGGCGTGGCCTCAGTCCTCTCTGCCCCCCACACAGACGGGTGCTTGTCCAATCCCTGCTTTCCTGGAGCCCAGTGCAACAGCTTCCCTGACGGCTCCTGGTCCTGCGGCTCCTGTCCAGTGGGCTTCCTGGGCAATGGCACCCACTGCGAGGACCTGGACGAGGTGGGTGCCCTCTGTGGGCAGCAGGTGCCCGTGGTGCAGAGGGGGAGCAGCGGCTCACATGAGCTTGTCCTCGCAGTGTGCTGTGGTTGCGGACATCTGTTTCTCCACCAACAAAGTCTCCCGCTGCGTCAACAGCGAGCCGGGCTTCCACTGCCTGCCCTGTCCCCCGCGCTACAAGGGGAACCAGCCCTTCGGGGTCGGCCTGGAGGCAGCCAGGACAGAGAAGCAGGTGAGCCGGGTACCCTTCCACCCCGTTGTCCCCGGTTCCGGGAGGAGTCTGCTGTTGTGGAAGCTGGGTTGCAGGGCCCCTCTCGGCACAGGGGAGCGCAGACCTGACGTGAGGGGTCCGTGGGCACAGGGGGCCGTGTCCCTGTGTCACTGAGGTGTTGTGGTAGCAGAGCACTCAGAGGGAAGAGCAGGCACAGTCCAGGAGACAGGACGCCAGGGGACCCAGGATCTGGAATGCAGGCAGGCCCGGGACTGACCCGCAGCTCCAGGCCTTGCCACCCAGGAGAGACTCCAGGGCCACTGCTGGGGACTGTCCCCACACAAGCTATGTGGGGACACTTGAGACCTCAGCCCATGACAGCACCTGGGAGCAGGGGTGGGCCTAGAAGTGCTGCTGCTGCTGCTGAGGGCCTTGCTGCCCGGCAGGAAGACCAGCACTCTGGACGCACTCTGGCCCCTGTCCCTGGGCTGCCCGGCCCATGATGGCCTTCCCCTGAGGGCTTGTGGGTAGCCCAAGACCCTCCGTCCCCCAGGTGTGCGAGCCGGAGAACCCGTGCAAGGACAAGACGCACAACTGCCACAGGCACGCAGACTGCATCTACCTGGGCCACTTCAGTGACCCCATGTTCAAGTGCGAGTGCCAGACGGGCTACGCGGGCGACGGGCTCATCTGCGGGGAAGACTCGGACCTGGACGGCTGGCCCAACAGTAACCTGCTCTGTGCCACCAACGCCACCTACCACTGTGTCAAGGTGAGGCCTGCGCGCAGTGGGCTCCCTACTCCGGCGCCTCCCGTGTGCGGTTCTGTGCGGAGGTGGGGGTGGGGCAATGAAAGGAAGCGCCCAGGCTGCCTAGCGCCAGCTCCAGCCTGCGCCTCCTGTGGGTTGGGGACCTGGGTCCCGCTGGCCTTGCCATTGGCCTGGTGGAAGGAGCGCTGTGCCCGGCCGAGCCCTCTTGGTGGGTCCCTGGCACCCAGGGACCATTGCCAGGGGCTGCCTTCCAGGCTGGCTGCTGGGCCTGGGGCCGTGTGCTCCCAGCACAGGTGCAGACGCCCCACACCTGACCTGGGGAGCAGAGGTGAGGAGACGGCGAGGCCCACACCTGGCCCTGGGTGGGGTGTGCAGGGAGGAATGTCCCCAGATGAGGTGGCCCCCATGGTCTCACGGCAGACATTGTTCTCCACAAAGACCCAGCTGTGCTGCAGGGTCAGGAGCGAGTCGGGGCCTGGGGAGAAGCCAGGCCCTTGGGGTCCACCCAGGGTGGACACAGTCCCGGGGCGCCCGGGGCGCTGGGAAACAACAGGGGGGTCCTCTCGCAGTTCTCGGGCCCAGTGGGGAGCAGGCAGCTCTCCAGAGGCCCAGGGAGGACCCTCCCTGCCACTTCAGCTTGGGGCTCCAGTGCTGCTGGGCGTGGCCCGGTCACTCTGGACTTGGCCTGTCCCCTGCGCTTCCCGGCCCACCCCAGCCCCTCCCTCAGGGATGTGGGGGACTGCGCTCAGGGCCATCTGGTAGCCCAGGACAATCCCTCCCCTAACTTGATCTTCTTCTGCCTTCCCCGTGAGGGACACTTGCCCCAGAGCCCAGGAGGGGGTGGACGCGTGGGCAGCAAACGTGGTGCTTCCCCAGGGCCCCACCCCATCACCCCACAGACGTGGTGCCACCAGGAGGGCAGAGGTCCCTGGAGCAGAACTGCCAATGCTTCCCGCCCACGAAGGCGACTCCCACCTGTGCCCCTGCCCAGCCCTGCCCCGTCCTCACCAGCCACCCTGCTGGAGAAGGCCCCTCAAGAGGGCACACACCTCTCCTGTCTGTCTGTCTTCCCGCCTGCCTATCCGCCTGTCCTCCGCATGGTCCTCCTGAGGACAAGGGACTAGCAGCTAGACCTAAGAGACCACCTTCTGCTCCCATAACGACTCCATGGGGGGTCTTCCCTGGGGTCCACAGCCTCGGGTCACCTTATCCCCCAGTGCCAGGGCTCTGGCTCTGCCCTGGGCTCCTGTGCTGTGCCCACAGGGTCCCCTGGAGGGGCGGCCCCGGCCTCTGCGACACAGGTCTCGCCATGACAAGAGGGCTGTGCCCACCTGCTCTGGCTCCCAGGGCCGGCACCTCAGCTGGGCTGTGAACCACAGCCTGGAGGAACCGGGACCAGACGTCCCTGCTCACAGGTGTCCTCGCCTCCTGCGAGGAGCTGACCTCCAGGGCACTCTCCACCTGTCCCCAGCCCTGGGCCACACTTTCAGGGAGCCTGGGTCCTTGGAGCTGGCTGTAGGGCTGGACGCAGGCCTGGGCGCCCTGCCTCTGGGCTGAGGTGGTGGAGGGGACACCCCAGGGGCAGCGCCCCCTCCCTGCCTTCTCCTGCCTTGTCAGGTGACATCTCTGGCCCCGCTCCACACAGCTCCCTCGTCTCTCTCAGGCCCAGCGGGAGGCCCTTCCGCTCCCAGCTGAGGAGGGACACCTGACCTGGCTGCTGTGGCGCCAGGGCTCTGCAGACAGCTCACGGTCATCACCCCTTTCCTATCACAGGACAACTGCCCCCAGCTGCCCAACTCTGGACAGGAGGACTTTGACAAGGACGGAGTGGGTGATGCCTGCGATGAGGATGATGACAACGATGGCGTGAGCGACGAGAAGGTGAGGGCTGAGCTGTGAGCACCACACACGGGGGACTGCAGCAGGGAGGGGACCGAGCGGGCAGGAGCACCGGGCCTTCCCACGCCACATCCGGTGCCCCCCACGGGGCCACTCCCAAGCCTCTGGTAAAGCCACTCACCCACAGAAGCACCAGGTGCCAGCACGGTCCGCAGTGAGTGTCCTTGCTCCTGCCTCCCCCAGCTATGTGAACCCGCCTACCCGCCTCCTTCCTGCTGGCAGGACCAGTGAGGGCCAGCTCACCGCGAGAGAGCTCCCTGGCCTCCTGAGAGGCTGCGACACAGGCAACACAGTGCCAGGGAGACTGATTACCTAGGCCGTGCCCAGCACTCTGCACGCCTGACTTCCAAACACCCTGGACTTGCTCATCCACCCACTCACCCACTCACCCACTCACTCACCCACTCACCCACCCACTCACCCAC